TATGGCTGATTCAGGTTTATTGCCACTGCAAGTCTTTTTCGGACTCACGGTGTGGATCTTAGGTGTCGAGTAATCCAAGGGGCCCTTCAGAAGCGACGTTTTACGTTTATGGCTAGGTGGTGGTTTCCGTGTAGCGTTGGTTGATTGACACGGTGGCGATGTGAGAAACGTCTCGCTTACGCGTAGCTTTTGCCCCTGTACGTCACCACCATTATCCGAGAAGTTCTGACTGCCTTTTAACGCAGATTTTGCAATCTCTCGGCATCCTTGGCAGATCCACAGAAGATCCCGTAAGTGCTGTATAGTTTGTTTAGCTCGCTAGAGCGCTTTAGGAAAGTTTTGTGTGCCTAGTGTTCGCATATGCTGCATTCCATACCTGTAACCACCCGTCTACCACTCGATACATTACGGCATGGATAAGACAAACGTGGCATGTTAGTAATGGTTACGATAGTCGGACAACAATTAAACGTTACCACAAGCTCTAAAAAAGAGATTACGCAATGGATAAGGTGTACGAAACATGACGCTCAAAACGAACAAAAACATTGAACCTACTACCAGTAAGATATAGCAAAACTATAGAATAAAGTTAAGCCCGCGAGAAGGGCTTTAGAACTTCGATTAAACGTGAAATATCAAGTGATATTTTGCAAAAATCAGGTCAAAAGTTGCCAAACGAGGAGAGTTTTAAAATTTCAAACCATGCGCCAGCTCAAAAAAGGATAGTGGATTTTCTTCATTCTCCTCTTCTTGATCTGCCTTAAAGTTTTCCGAAATTTTTCAGGCATGGTATACATTTCCTAAATTGATGACAAATATCTCCAAAATACCCGAAAATGTTGAAAACATGAAAACAATCCGATAAACAAGTTCAATAGGTTTCTATGAAACTATTTACCAATCCCCACCTATCAAGTAGTACAAATGAGTGCATCAAATAGTAGAAAAGTATATACAAATAGGAAAAGATCATGGTGAATTACCGCGCATGTGGTAATCCTTGTGACGACTGACAACGTGCACTGGACAGCAATTCCCTCATTTTTCAGACCTTTCGTACGTCCTTGCCAGGACCTAAACCACAAACCTTCAGGTTGGTAGACAAAATGCACCCTGAGTCACACGATGCACGGTCGACATATTGAGTGAATGTCTCAAGCGTTTTCGATTGTTCTTTATTACAAAGTGATTTACGGCTAGAGGCAAACCACATGGTCAATGACGTACTGTAAAAGGGAATGTACGTGAGGAAACATGCAGATGAGAACTAAGTTGTCAGTCCTGTTTTTGAAGAGATTGTAAGCGTTTGGTAATGCGGAGATGTGAGGGATGTTCCACAATTTCTCATTGGGGTAAGAAGAGAAAAACAATTGGAGGTGGCTTCATCGACCACATTACTAACCTGATCACTCCATCTAACATGGGTTAAACTGTGTAAACACTGATAATTGAAAACCTCCAGTCGACGGATATCTTCTACTCAAATTCAAGGTCTCAACTATAAAGGAGAACTGAACAAACGGTAGGAAAACAAACACCACCTTTCAACTATAGTGGAATGTTGCGTCTACACCAAAGGTGTTTCAGTCCTGCGTACATACTTTGGAGCTTTGGAAATGCCGCGCTACCGTCATTGGTCACGTAGCTGCCTAATTAGGAAACGTAATCAAGCGTAACCTGTTCCTGGCCATTTAGTTTCAGAGCGGGAGTAGGCGACACCTAGTCCTGCAGCATCACTTTGCACTTTGAAAGTGCAAACACATACCGAATGTGGCTACTGCACTTGCACTTGAAGTTCGCCTCACTGTATTTCGCTGGATAATGATGATGATGATGATTGGTCGACTACCAACTTATTTCTCCGCATTTGATCGGAGGAGCGTATCCCTTTGTCTTCAAGAGGGTATCACGCAACGACTGCGCTAACCACCGCGGGATTAGGTTAGTTCCAATAATCACAAGAGTGCTGACTTCTGTGACACTTCGCCACCTGAAACCCTCAAGAGAGATGAATATCCTCGAACAGCAGGTAGTATTCCGACCAGGTCGCGGTTGCATCGACCAAATCTTCACTTTGCTTCAANATCTAAAAGGACCCTTCGATTCAGTTAACCGTGAAGCTCTTATGGGGTCGCTGCTTCGCAAAGGAATGCTGCGGAAGTATGTAAACCTATTGCGGTCGTTGTACCTGCATACTTCTGGTAGCGTACGGGTCTACGGTGGGCAGAGTAAATCGTTCGACACCAGGAGCGGTGTTCGTCAAGGGTGCCTTATTTCTCCACTCCTATTCAATTTCGTCGTAGACAAAATTTTGGAGAACGCACTTATTGGTCTCCAAAATGTTGGTATTGAATGGGCAGCTAGAGAAAAGCTGTGCCATTTAGATTGCGCTGATGACATCGTATGCATATTCGACGGTATGGAGGATGCGCAAAGAGGTCTTCACAGACTTACAAGTTCTGTAACCACTTTCAGCATGTGTTTTGCACATTCAGAGTGCAAAGTGATGCTACAATATCGGGTGTTGTCTAGCGCGGTGCTGATACTTGATAGTCAAGCTATGGTGAAATGTTTCTCCTACTTAAGTAGCTGCGTTACAAATGACGTTGGTATAGTCAATGAAGTAATGTTCACATTTCCAAGGCTCGAGCAGCTTGCACAGGACTGAAACACTTTTGGTGCAGACGCGATGTTTTATTGCAACTGAAAGATCGTGTACGCTGCGCCAGTGTGCGGCCAGTTCCGCTTTATAGTTGCGAAACCTAAATTTTGCACGTGGAGGATATTCGTCGGTTAGAAATGTTTGATTGCCGATGTTTGAGTTGGATGGAGCGAGCGTGTAAGCAACTCTGAGGTTAGTCGTCTTGTATTTGGCAATACTTTGATGGAAAATTATTTGTCATATCGAATGCGGATCAGTCGGTTTAGCTGGTTAGGACACGTATTGCGCATGCCTTATTCGCATTTGCGGTTCCAGGTTAGAAGAAACCACGTGCAAGTCAGCAGATGATGTGGGAACGAGACATGAAGAAATGCACAGAGCGATCAGATAGAATAGATGCGTCCCGTTTTCCAGGTTAAAGTCCTAAAGACTACAACTCGGCTGGAGATACTAAAGGATGAGAATGCTTACAAATGTATGTATTCACCGTTATATTATGTACGTCGTTTTGAGCATAGACGTTCACTTTTTTCGGCCCTCCAGTTAGACCCAATCCCTCTCCCACCTGAGCTTCATAACTTGATTTGTGTACATGGTGAGCTTGGCAGCGATCTGTGAAGTTCGCTTCACTGTATCTTTATCTGTTTGATGATGATGATGATACGACTGTGCACATGTGCAAAGCGCACTCGCTGTGCTGTTGTGCTGTTCCTTTTTGTATGAGATTTGTTGCCTCATATCGCAATGACGACAATGATAAGGATCGACTGTCCCTACTTCGAAGTTCGATAAGCAAAAGTTGACTATGGTTAATTACTTCTATCTCGGTCGTCGTTTGGCAAATGATGGTAGTACAGTAGTTTCAGTTTCAGTTTGTACAAACATTACCCACGCACTTTCAGGGCCGGTTTTGGTTGTTTTCTTTTGGCTGCCCACTGGTAAGGGTTTTCATACCCTCATGCCAGGTCTTAACTTGACCACCCTTGGCTCTATTCCATCCACTACTTGACTCGGCTAACATCGCTCGTCGTGGCAACCTATTTGGTGACATACGTAACACATGCCCCAACCAACGTAATCTATGGAGATCGACCGCTTGCTCTGGTGGGCGACCAGTTACCTAAAACTGCGCCTAATCTCAGCATTACTCGTTCGGCTGCCCCACCTGAATCGTGCAATGCTGCGTAGACAGCTGTGTACAAACACCGACAGTCTTTTTTATGCTGCTTTACTAATGGTCAAGTTTCTGATACTTCATTTGGGATGCGTTCACTGGGTGAGATGCAACTTCCCAAATAAGAAATCTTATCCACATGCTCTATCACTTCCCCATTTAGACTGAGTCTGGATGCTGGACCGACTTAGTCTTGTAGTAACATTAACATTTTGGTACAAAATGCATACTGAACATGGCTTCGCTGGCAATGAACCTTTCCAGAAATGCTTGTAACTTAGCTGGGGTTCGTTTATTCTTCACAACTCAAAGGTTCACAGTTCGTGCCCCCCCCCCCCCGTGAGCCAAAAATAGTACGCACTTCTGCTGAATGTCAACAAGGACAGAAAAGTTTTCCAGTGCTCTTTGTTTTCTCTCTCAAATTTTTAGGCAATCGAAACACTAAAATGTGGAGTATAGGCGAAGGGACAAGACCCATCTCAGAAAAACAATATACAGACTCTAACTGTGATGAGACCCAATATGTACGCCCATCTAATTTACCCGCACCTTACATCTTCGTCTGGGTACTGCAGTGATTCCAAACCAACCAAGAAAAAGCGTACAAACCACACATCTCCATACCTTCCTGGTTTTGGTAATGGTCACTGGCTCAAATTGGTGTATAGGGCACCTTGGACGTTTGACCCCTCCCAGTGGGCATATGATCCGATGAACTGGACACTGACCCCCACCCCAGTGGAAAGCGGTTTTCCCACACCACCTGGCTACCTTTCTCGTCATGTTTGGCTAGCCGAGGGCTCCGGTTGTGAACTCCCCAATAAAATTCATCCACATTGACCTGAGAAGCCTGGCAGTATTCGGCCCAGATGCGAATCATGGAACGCTTTTCTTTTTTATAAAGATTATTGTACCATGATTTGTTTTGCACACAGTCTGAAATCAGGCATGTATGTGAAATACGATACAACTTATTCTATTCTCTCTTTCCTGTTCCCCTCGATACTCGGACCTACTCCTGATTGCTTGCTTCGGGAAGGTGTGTGACTAGGCTAATAAGGATGTGTCAAGCGTTGTTTTCGTACCCTTCTTCTGTCATAAAAGATAAACGTACGTGTTCACATGTTCCATTTTTACCTTCAGGTTACCACACCTTGAATCATGTTAGCCTCACAAGAGCGCGGATCTGTTTCCATCAAGTCATCGTCATCGTCAGCCACTTCATCGAAACCTGTCAGTAGTGTGCGCTTGAAGAAAGATCCAATTCCAAAAGCTACCGCTGATGGCAAACCCGTCCGCATTGGCACACGCGATAAATCGGATTCCTACTCTCTTTCTTCGGTAGATGTGATGGATTCGAATGATATGAAATACATGGACGATAGCACGTCCTCTTCCTCTACCTCATCTATCTCAGGTGGAGTTGACTTAGGTTCGTCTTCGGCCTCTACTGCCTCTGCTTCACCTACAACTGCTCAGTCTTCTCACTCACAAGACACACTGAAATTCGACACGCGTTCACCTTTGGCTTGTCCTTTATCCAACGGACTCAGTGGTCCATCAAACTCGAATTCCGTATCCTCACGTTCGGTTCCAACTTCGCTTGTCAATGGACAACAAACCAATGCTGTCCGATATTCGGCCCCAATCCATCGACCTACTTACATGCCCAAACCTTCTCGTATTCCCGTATTAACAAGTCTGGGCCGGATCAAGCCTTTGGACATCCGGAACGGATCTGAAAATCGTCCGCATCCCCATCCTTCCGGCAATGACGGCACTGGGCCCGGGAATCATTCACCCACCAACAGTCCGGCCAGTTCATCTCCGCGCACCCCGGTTCGACTGAACGAGGTAGACCATAATGGCATGGATTCCTCCGAGTCCACGGTTGAACCGGATGACTGGTATTCACAAAAGGTAACTGATACACCGAAATAGTATATCAAAAATTTGTCGATCTTAGTGGTTAGACTGTTATTCATGAGGTTCTTATAATTTCGGCGCACCAACGTGCTATCCCAAACATCAACTTTTGCCTTTCCAGCCTCCTACTGGTAGTCCGGAACTATCCACCTGGTCCACCTGATCTTTAAGTCTCGACGTTAATTTCTTTCACCCCTTTCTGCTGTGCCTGAACTCATCTGCACTGATGAAACCAACTTTTCCCCATTTGAGCCGTTTAGGTATTCTCATCCGATTCAACTCTCATGTCATTAGGTTTCCCCTGGAGTGTATGAGACTGCCCTCATGCAACGAGCCTCGTAGAATGATATATGTTAACTGACCTGAAAGTGGTGTTTCCGGTTCGCTCCACGTCGACCCGATGTGATCGTTTTCTGACTGTAACTTTTTCTTGAATGCTTGATGCAAAGTTAAGAATGTGCTACTTTCCTGAGCTCAGTTTACTTCCGGCTACAATCGGAGTTCAGTTCAGTTTGTACAACCATTAGCCATGCACTTTCGTGCTCCGGTTTTGATTGCTGTGGTCGCTTATGAACAGTAGGAGGAAGACAAAAAAGTTGAAAGTAGGGTCGAATAGAAAATGGTGAACTTCAGTGGACTAATGTTGCAAAGAAATTGACAAAATGTACGACGTCATTGTTTACGATACTCAACAAGCGGAGAGTTTTCCGAAGAAACGAAAAACGATAAAACTATTCCTCAATGCTTGTCCTCAGACCAAGAGGATAATAACTCTGTTTATGGCTAACAGTCTCATTGTCAAAATCCGATTAATCGATGTGCTTAGCATCGTGACCCACTTGCCTATCTGTCAACTCTCTAGATGTTTCATTGATTCCTTAGTTGTCCAACATATATATGTAATTTTATTGGTTTATGCTTTCCTGTACCGTAAGGCTCACAAGTTGCCTCATGATTGCACCTAGTTATCGTACACCGGAAAATTATATGTTCACAGATTCACTATGTCCAAGAATGCAAAGAGTAGGGTACCCACAAACCTACAAGGATACTTGGTTCGATCGATCGCGTTTGGTTTTAAGTTGAATCCGGTTACTGATTGCCAGCGTGAATATATATATATATATATATATATATATATATATATAT